CTCCCCCCCCCCCGTGCTGTTATTCGCCGTTCTCCTGCTCCTCCTGCTCCTGCTCCTCCTGCTCGTGCTCCTGCTGCTCGTGCTCCTCCTGCTCCTGCTCCTCCTGTTCCTGCTCCTCCTGCTCCTGCTCCTCCTGCTCGTGCTCCTGCTCGTGCTCCTGCTCCTCCTGCTCCTGCTCCTCCTGCCTGCTCCGGCTCTTGGTGCTCCTGCTCCTGCTGGTGCTGCTGCTGGTGCTCCTGCTCCTGGTGCTCCTGCTCCTCCTGCTCCTCTCCTCTGCTCCTCCTGCTCCTGCCTCCTCGCTCCTCCTGCTCCTCTCCTCTGCTCCTCCTGCTCCCCCTCCTGCTTCTCCTCCTGCTCCTCCTTCGCTCCTCCTGCTCCTGCTGCTCCTTTTGCTGCTCCTCTCCTGCTCCTGCTGCTCCTCTCCTGCTCCTCCTGCTCCTCCCCGCTTTGGAGCAGGAGACGGAAGGCAGGCTTGAAGTCAAAAGCTTGGTGGTCGACGGCGTTGCCTTACCAGTATCGGCCCTGGTTGCTTTGCAGTTCAACGTTGTGATTGTTGGAATTCTTGTAAGTTTGCAAAGACTTGGCAACACATTCGCAAACTCAACATCCAAGTTAAAAGCGCTCATCGGCATGCACCACCAATGGCCGGCGACGCATGCGTTGCATGTCCACTTGGAGGCCACATCGAGCCACATGCACGTTTCGTAGGAATGATTGAAGGTCCTGCACTTGCCGACGTACTTCATTCGCCTTTCAGCAACTGCGCAGGCGACACGGTTGTGGAACACGCCCGTGACGGCAAAGGCTGACTCGTTTGGCCTCGTTTGAGGGAAGTTCGATTTATGACGTTGTTGAAACAGGTTGGCATCGAAGTTCTGGATAAGAAAGTGTTTATGTCATGGAGCCCCCCCGCCCTCTCCGGAAAAATAAAGAGAAGGAAGCACAGGCAAATTTAGGATGTTTCTGGTATAAACAAACGGAACGCCGGCTAACGCAAGTTTGGGTCAAACCGGCAGCCAGCATCCTGGACCAAACAATTCCAGCAGGCATTTCGACCAAAGCTTAGCCAAAAAGATGAGACACAAGATGCGCATTGTTGTGGTTTTCAAGCATGTGTTTGCACTTGACCATGTTTCAGATCAATTGCAGCTAGGTTTCGCGGAAAAAGATGGCTTAGTGATTCAAACACCAAGAACATGCACCGTTGTGTGATAGGAGCTCGCCCGGTCCGAGCATGCCCACTTCCGGGATAAGGATGATGCCTTTTGGTTTGTGTTGCATGCACATGTCGCATGACATGGAACGAGACCAAAACTAAGGGTTCATTGCTGTGTTTTCTTGTTGCCCGCAGGATTCTGCCTTGGAATTGTTGCGGTATTACCACTGGAAACTTGGCTGCTTGATGGGTCGAATCCGGGTGCCTTCTTGCCATGCTTCCAAAGCTGTTTTTGTGTGCTGAGGCTTTTGGGGTATGCCGTCCTAGACGACAAAGGGCGCCAGTATGAGGATCAATGTTGCGCACTTCAATCACTGCACGACTAGAGTGAGTTGGTTTGACGAGGACTACAAGAACTTTCTGTGCGAGTTCATGGATGGAGCTCATGCCTGAGCTTGTCGTTGATGTGGTTTGGGTATCATTGGAGCAGCAAGTTGAACAGTACAATGCGTGGTCACACCTGCATACGACTTTCGACTCGTAGTCCGGTTTGCAGGCTCAAGCATGCTCGTCCCGGGACTTTGACATGCGAGCTTTTCATCAGAAGGTCCTCGTCATCCAGTTGCGTGGCCGAAAGAAAGAGTTGACCGTTTAAGTCCGGGTTGAAGCTTTAATTCGGGCGTGCTGAAGGTCTGCCTTCAGGCGTCGCCTGGCCTTGAAGCATGTGGAGAAGATGAAGAGGCATGCTTTGACATGCTATGGTGTTTCCGTCGTTGCGCCTGTTGGGTAGTTGAAAACCTTTAAGTTTCAACACAAATGATTAATGGCGGAAGCTTTCCTGGTTGCTTGGAAAGCTCATGCCGTACCACACCAAAATTGCCTCGGCGCCAAAGCCCGAGCGGAAACTTAATAATTGGATGCCTTTAGGCAGAAGTTGCGACATGTAGATCGACAGCAAGTGGCCATGCCCCCCGGCTGCAACCAGATGTTTCGCTTCGCGAACGTTGGTCGTTCGCAGCAAGCAGTATTGCCGGGCTCCGGCACTGGCGGGAGCTCATTGATTGAAATGGCATGGATTTGGAGATCATATGCGAGTATTGCGGAACTCCCGAGCAGAAGTAAGTCAGTCCCTCCAATGTGAGGAACGGTTCCCTCACCAAATTGGACATGGACTGAGGGAGAGTGGGTTGCACCCTGTAAGGGGCCAGGAAGTACGACGGGGTCAGTGGTCAGACTTCATCTGGCCAGCCCATGCATTGATCGCCAGTTATCAGAGTTGATGCCAGCAGGACTTGACCGATGCCTCAGACAGCGTTGTTCGGGAATTTGGCCAATGGTTTCTTGGCAGGCAAACAGTTTGAAGCCCGACCCCCGAAACACAAAATTCTGATCAGAAGCGTCACGTTCCTTACTTACAATACCGTAGTTTGTCAGATTTCCATCCTCGCTTGTTTTTTTCGCTCTGGTGCAAGGATGGGGCTCAACCCGCGAATGGTAGTGGCTGGTCAGCGTATAAGTTCACGGATGTCGCGTCGTTGGGTTGATGCTTTTGCCCATGCAACCTTCCCAGTCCACCCGAAGTGCACAGTGCTGAAAGGAATTTGTGCAGCAAGTGCCCAGGAAGCTTTGCTGCTGATGCGTTCGGCGAACATCAAGGCTCCAGGCTTCGTTGGATTAACTTTGCAGTGTGCATCTGGCAGAGTGCTGTCCCATGCCCTTCCTTTACGACCACTCCAAGTCCCAACGTGTCCATGCCACACCCGCTCAAAATTGCATTGTAGCCACTCAAAATTCATGGCTCAAAAAATCGTGCAGGCAACGACACCGACGAGAACACTTGGACAGGTTCAGAGAGTGTTTTGCTCAGTGCATACAGGTCACAGTGCTGGTGTAGCTTTCGAAATTATCATTTTTTTGCCTCCTTCTTTGAGGGCTTCGAATCCGCGTATAGCTGATGTCAGAATGGGCCCCATAGTGTCACACTTTCAGTTCAGAGGTGGTGACCATGGCTGGTTTTTGCAGTTGTCAGCTTGTTGAAGTGAGGTTTAATCTCCGGAGAAGACGACTCTTCGAAGGGTCGCTGCTGGGAGAGGAGAGGGCAATTCTAACGTTCTTTGCGCTGGGAGTCGAACACCTGCCACTAGGGATGATCGCAGCTGCCAGCTTGGGCTTGTTATATTTTAGACTGGTCTGGAGGCTGCTCAAGACTTGGATGCTGAGTCTTGTTGGGAAGGTTATCTGAAGTGTGGGCGTACCATATGCGGTTTACATTGCTCCAGGCCTACAATGACGGAGAAGAACCTCACCATCAATGTCTGACAAAAGCTGAGACATAAACTCGTGGGCAGTTCCAAGAAGAGAATACCTCCAAACCACAATCACAAGCTTCAAATGCCAAAATTCAGGAGTATTGAGAGTGCAAGGACAATTTTTGCTCCAAAATATGAACTTCATAGCGAATACCTTTCACCATCCTGGGGAAATGTCGGGCCTTGTGAATTTGCATTGTAAGACTGCAAGACACGCGCATGCGCGCAGTTACATCCATGTCGGGTTGCATCAAGTAAGCTTGCGCAGGCAATATGCAGGTATGTACTTACAGCAGCGATGCTTCGCGACTTAGAACCATACGTGAAAAATATTGTTTCCGACCAAGTTGCAAGAGACTTGTGCAGGCGAGTGGAGCCATGATTGAAGTCAGGATGGATCAACACACAGATAATGACAGTATTTCGTATTTTCACCAAGCTATGACTTGAGGCCCCGACAGAATGTTGCAGTCATTCTTTAAGAAGCGAAGCTTCTGACCGTGGCTGGGGTGCTAGCCTCGTTGGAATCGGTTTATGTTGTTCTGTGGCAGGAGCGGGTGAGCTTCCCATCCATGATAGTGGGCATCCCCATGGCTCAGTGCAAATCGCCAAACCTAGAAACTGCTTCCGCTACTTGCATTGTTTTTTGCAATTTTGCCGGGAAGCTTCAGAGATTGATTTGAGCTTGCTTGGCTATGCAAATGTCGAACATTCACCTGGGTGTTCCATTTTCCTGCGATAATACATCTACGCATGTCGTCGCAAAGGGACATGCTCGGTGGAACAGCTGCAGGCGTGTGCTTCACATGCCAGGCGATGCGATCTCATGGAGAGATCACGGTTTTGTGAAGCATGTTACCAGCATCGACAAAAGCATGTGCCGAAGCCCGATGTCTGCAGCATTCTGCAGCGTTGGGTAAGCGAGGATACATTGCGCAATTGCGCATCGCAGGCAGCTGGCGACATACGGCCAACATGTTGATTGTATTGAGTATCGATCGCTGACTGAGTTCCAAGCCCTGCTGCCGCCAATCGGTGTGATCGTAGGAGGTGCTGGCGTGCGAACGCAAAGCCGGCTCTGCATTAGGATGCAAAGCCGTCATCCTGGCCTGGTCGGGTCACGTTCAAGTTCCCTTCTTTGTGCTTTGTGGCGTTGCCGCAAGCGCAGCCGCAAGTTGCTTTGCAAACCGGAAGTCCTGCAGTGGACGGGAAACGAAGTATTAGCCGTGACTATAGATTCCGTGTGGCTCTAACGAGTGCAAGCTCAGCGATCCCCATTCATTGACTTCATCTTGCAAGTTACGCGTTCGAGACTTGAGGCTGCTAACATCCTTCAAGCTTTGCCTTGCGCTTGCTTGCCAATCATAACTAGCCCGTGCGTTCATCCCCATAAGAGCAGAATCATACGGTAAGCTGATGCATGCTTGCAATTGTGGTATTTTGTGGGGGCTCTTTCACTGTTTATAGCGCCAAAACCTTCATGAACGACAGATTAGAGAGTAGCGAAGACAGCTTCCGCAGTGCTTGCTGCTCAGGTCCTGTTGGGCTGGCCTTCTGAGCCGGATGTGTCCATGCTTGTGACAGGTGCCGTTTCTTGCTTTTGGCAGCACTTGCTTGTACGCTTTGCTTTGCCGTTCAGTTTCATGCTTTCTCTCCCACGCTCTCCACTGACCTGTATCTCCCTTGGCGAGTTCACCAACTTGCTCAGTCAGCCACCCGTGCATTGACGACGTTGGTTCCACTACCTCCGCGTCCGGCTGGTTTCGTTCACCTCATTCACCGGATTCATCCCACTCAAATATCCCAGTCCCAAAGCTCAGTATGCTCGCTCATGATTCGCCCATTGATTGACTGACGTGAGTGTAAGCCTGGACATTTTCCATCAATGCAGTAGACACACGCACACACACTTAATGGCAAGTTGGATGCCCATCTTCTGTCACACGCTCAAGTAAGTTCTGGAAGAAGAGGTAGAGGAGGAGAAGTCGTAGAAGTAAAAGAGGCCAATGTTGAGGTAGCAGAGATGAATGCTGTGTGGTGTGAGTGTTGGGTTGCGTCGGAACCTTTTTTCTTGACCACGCATCGTGAGGGTGAGATGTACATGTTGGATGCCAATGTTCTGGTGCATGCTCAAGTTTTGGAGGACGGGGTAGAAAAGGCCACTACGAACTCGGGTATCGTCAAGGTTGCAGCCACAGGCATGTATTGACAGCGGCTAGAAGTGCATGAAGCCGTTTTTAGAGCATGCTGTGAATCCCCCTCCCAACGCATGGGGCCTGTGCTGAACCCTATTCACGGTCCAAAGGCTGTCTGTGAGAGTGTGCGTGTGTGTGTGTGTGTGTGTGAGGGTGTGAGCGGGGGGGGGGGGGTGTGTGAGAGAGAGGGTGTGAGGTGTGTGTGTGTGTGTGTGTGTGTGTGTGTGTTGTGTGTGTGTGTGTGTGTGTGTGTTGTGTGTGTGTGTGTGTGTGTGTGTGTGTGTGTGTGTGTGTGTGTGTGTGTGTGTGTGTGTGTGTGTGTGTGTGTGTGTGTGTGTGTGTGTGTGTGTGTGTGTGTGTGTGTGTGTGTGTGTGTGTGTGTGTGTGTGTGTGTGTGTGTGTGTGTGTGTGTGTGTGTGTGTGTGTGTGTGTGTGTGTGTGTGTGTGTGTGTGTGTGTGTGTGTGTGTGTGTGTGTGTGTGTGTGTGTGTGTGTGTGTGTGTGTGTGTGTGTGTGTGTGTGTGTGTGTGTGTGTGTGTGTGTGTGTGTGTGTGTGTGTGTGTGTGTGTGTGTGTGTGTGTGTGTGTGTGCAACTAGAAATTTACCACTAGTGACTGCGGTCCATGAAGTACTTGAACATTCACAGCAGGGGGACCATCCAGTTGCTATGTGCGATGGTCCAACGAAGCGGCCATAGCAACTGCGGATATCAGGGCTGATCACCCTGACGTACCTGCGATAGTTTTACTGTTTGTGACATCATTCATCGTACAAGCTGTGCATGGTACTGAATCCTGTGTTCATCATCGCTGTGCAGACCCAGAAATGAGACTTACCCCATAATAATAATAATCATCGGTGACTTTGCTGCATAAAAGTCTCTTGGCTTGGACAACAAGTGGATTGTCAGAAATATACCCGTGGAAGTGTGAGCGAAAGCGGCCGGTTGATTCCCGTGATGGTGGTCAACTGAGATCTCCCCTGTGGGGAGCCCCGAGATGTGACAAACAACGATAAATCCAGAGTTCTCTCCGAATCGGGGTTTCCCGAAAGTTGTCTCCTTACTCAAAGTCTGACTCTGCTGTTCTTCGTCATCGAGAAGGCTTCAGTCGGGAGGCCTGTAGGTCAGCTCCCTCCACGCAGTCTCGTCGGAGCCGATCGACGACACCTCCGTGAAGTATTTCAGTATTCTCAGAACTCGTATGGGTGTGTAAAGCTCGACTTTGTTGCTCTATTCCCTCGTTCCCGGTTTGGGAGTCAGTAATGTCGCGAACCAGTCTGACCCCGATGCACTAAGGGGTTCGGTTGTGGGAGGCTTCTCTTCTGATACTTGGTGGCTTCTCGTCGCTTTTTGGTTCAAGATTCGTAGTTGGTGAGGGTTTCTCTTGCATTTCCAGTTATGGGGCGCCGGCGAGATAGTCGCTCTCGTTCTAGACGAGGGCGGGGTCGTGAACGTGATCGGGATCGTCGACGTTCCCGTTCTAGGGGCAGATCATACGACAGGGGTGATCAACGCAGAGGTTCATCGATACCTGCTCAACGAACCGACCTTTCCCATCGTCTTCCTGATCCCAATTGGACCCCGTCTTCTACCATGTTGGATGATAATGAAGTTTATGGGTACAAGCTTCAGAATAAAGCCGCGTCCACTCCATACTCCACCAACAGGGGGTTTGCGGGCAAGAGTCCTCATGAAATAGCACTGGTGGATGTTTTGGTGTTTGGGATCCAGAATTGGATGCTTCGTCCATTGATGGCGGGTCGATTTGTGCAGTTTGAAGGATTCCGTAGCAAGTATGACGCACTTTTGGCTTCGGCATTTCATCGGGCTGTTCGCAACAACAATCAGATTGACCTCAAGACTTGGTGTGATCATTGGTGTCAGGAGCAGTCTTTAGACCCTACTGTTTTCACCAATGTACTTCGGTGGGCAGATGAGACAGCAAAGCAGCTTCATGATCATGCTCGGACGTTGATTCCCCAGGATTCGGAGGTTAGCGCTTTGGCCAAGCTCAAAGCTTTACAAGCCGAGAACCAACGATTGAAGGCTTCCCAGAGTTCCCAGCCGGTTCCACCCCAGGCGCAGGCCCGATTCGACCCAAGGCCACTCCCAAGGCTAAACCCAAACCCGGACCCAGCCCCAAGTCTGTCCCCTCCCGCCCCAAGCAGCCTTCGACCCGTACACCGTTGCATCAAGACAAGCAACGGATTGCAGCAAGCTCCGCCCGAAAGCGGACCCTCCCCACCCCTCGAGGCTCTCCCAAGGATAAAGAAACAGGTAGGTGTCAGCTACTTTCATCTTTTCATGCGGCCGCCTCAGCCGATGAAACAACCGACAACCCGGCTCTAGACCACCCACCAGCTACAGAGGAGGTTGACGGCTCTGAGGCCGTAGACATAGCGGACGCTTCTTCCCCAGTACCTGACCCTTCTCCTCAGGCGGTAGCCCCAGGCGACGAGGCCCACTGCATAGGATGTGCAGTTCCTACCCAGCCCGAGCTTCAAGAGAATCAGCCGGAATCCTTTCGTCCGGTGGACGTCAACCGGTGGCTTCGGCGACAGAATTTGAGTCCGGACACTATGACCGCAATTGAGGATTCGGCTGGTTGGTTGCTTGAGTGCTTTGAGAAGGTGTCTGAAAATGAGGCCCCTACAGTCATCGAGGTTGCGCAGGCGTGGGGCCTTGACCCAGTGTTGGTACAAACAGCCACTCAATTCCAGTTGTGTAGGGTCATTGCAGCAGCCACTTTTCTGACTGAGAACTGACCCAGACACAAGGCCTCGAGAACATGGGTGAATCGTGCCTGGCATTTCCTTTTCTACATGTGCTTTTTCTTTGCTTCATGTCCTTCGTTTCCTCGGTCTTTCATGAACAGGCTTTTATGGGTTTCCAGCTTCGTATTGTTTCAATTGATTCGCTTGGGCCATACTTCCGGGGCTCGTGTGGAACGACTTCGGATCCTTTTCCAGATTCACCGTGTTCCAGAGGATTATCCATGGGAGTACTTCTCCTCCCAGTTCAGTGTGTATGTTCGTATTTCATGGATGTTTCACGAGTTCTACGTTGGGTCGACACATTCTTCTATGCCCTCTCGCGAGTACACTCGCACACGTAAATTTCTCCAGCTACATCGGGGCCAACTTGCTGATTATGAGCCTGCTCTACTCTGGTGGCACCATCATCAGAATTATTGGTTATTTTTCCCGATTGTGATCATGTCTTGTGGTTCTATTGTGGAAGCGTTATCCAAAGAAAGTTCCTTGATGGACATTTGGCAGCCCAAACTCAACGCCCCTTGGGTTGGCAGACTTTTGAAGAAGGTTCGATTGTGGAAGGATGAGCTTGTTCCCAATACAGTTGCGGCGGGTGTTTTCAGACAGGGCCGACGACTTTGGAAGAAGGGCTCGTCGACGACTCTTTCTTACATCGATTACTTGGCATGAATCACTGTTTGAACAGACTCATTCATCCTTTACTCTGTTGTATCATTTGGGAGAAAAATGGTCTTGCTAAGTTTCATGCCAACAGGGAGCTTCGATCCGTTCGGTTTGATCGGATTCAGATTTTCACATTGTATAAGCAAACCCGCTTGCTTTCTGAACCTTGGAGAACTAGAGCTTATGCACAGTGGCGGTCTATTCTGCGGTTTCGTGACCTTCCAATTCCTGTCTCGCAGAGAACGATTGGCTTCTTTCACCTCAACGTTCCTCAATACTGGTCATTGTTACCCAAATGGCTTCGCAACTACGTACACACCTATTCCTCACATGCACCGGATCTACATTTGCCGGGGTGGCATCCCCGCGAACTACGCTCTCGCCCCTTGGCGGGATCTCTCTGCAATTGGAAAGGGTGGCTAAGACAGTGGACTCCCGGCTTTCGGAGTGGTTGTATTTGTAGCACTTGGCTTGAGTTTGTACCGGGAGGTGATATTTCAGGACATGTTGCTTGTGAAACCCGTTTCATATGTGATCTACCCATTGCTGGTGCTAACATGGATGATCAATTGTTTCCATCGATGCTTGTTTACTTTTCTCAGATGAAGCGACAATTCCTGTCGTGGCGAGCGGGCACTTCCCTTCCCTGGGGTCCGTTTTTGGATGTCCTGGAACAGCTTTGGGAGGTTCATGAGCATGGTTCACAGGTACACTGGGATTCAGCTCAGTGCAAGATTTTCCGGGGTCGCGCGCGAGGTTTCGTTATTACACCTGTGGATCACTTCCCGAAGACCGCCTCTGCTTTATGTCCCCAGTTGTATATGGAGCTGTTGGATAAGACCTTCATCATTTCTTCCATTTTCGTCATTGCACACGATGACCCGCCGCAGTTTGAAACGGACCTTCGACGTCGTCTACTGCAGGCAGTCCATAAGTCCTACCATTGGGG